ATGAAAACGTACTTACAGTCTGTGAGTCAGAGCAGCCGTCATTGTAGTCTACTCTTCCAGGATCAGGAAACAGTCCTCCATAAAATGCGCTTGACACATCTGAATATTTGGGTTGAACTGTTCTGGAACAGTGTTGTAAATACAACTTAACCACTGATTTCTAGTCCTGTCCTCTTTTGGAAGGCCAAGTATTTTCGCTTTCGCAACGAAACATACAGCGTCTTCACAACATGGCGGCAGCGGCGGTGGCAGCAACAATAAAGTTAATCATTTTTTCTTTGCGTGAACATTTGGGCGGCGTTATGCAAATCTTCCCACACAGTGACGTAGACATGTGGGGGCTTGTTTAAACGAGGCGTTTTAGGAGGGCGTGGACGAGTCTTAACTTTTATAAAGAATATCTCTTTGGGTTTGAGACTTTAGTCTTTGCAACTTTAGGGATCTTATCTATTCATGAACAGCTTGCAACACTCCAAAGAGAAAGGAAAACTTGAAATCGCATCATATGACCTCTTTAACAAATGTCATTTGAATATGAGAACAGCCCCATTTTGTTGATTTGAGCAGAACATGTATTCTGACATGTTTTAAAAACGCTTGCATGTACCAGCTTGTACAGTATTGCTATATTGACTATAGGGTTGGCAAGATTTTCTAATATTTTGAAAGAAATACCTTATGCTCACCAAGGCTGCTGCATTTGTTTGATCAAAAATACAGTAAAAATAGTAATATTGTGAAATATTATTGCAATTTAAAATAATTAATAAGATATTTTAATATATTAACATTTCTTATTATTATCAATGTTGAAAACAGTTGCGCCGCTTAATTTTAATTTTAATTTTTTTTTGTGGAAATGAATGAATTTTTTTTAGGTTTCTTTGAATACATCAGTTATCTTACTTTTGCACAACATCAGTAATAAATATAATAGTTATACTTATCACACTTATAATAATCTAATACTTTATGGTCTCTGTTATGTGTGTTTCCTTTTTTCCCATTAAGTAAATTGGTGTTTTTCTCAGTTCTTCCTTGCCGAAGGTCTCTGGACTTTCAGTACTGTGGTGTTAAGGTGGAGCTGAGTTTCTCTGCCCTGTTCTCCAATGTCCTGGTTGTGTTTGCTACAGTGAGGAACTCAAGCGCTATGGCCCAGGACTGCACTCTGATTCTTGAGAGTGAACCAGTAAGTCACAGCTTTTCATGTCCTCTTTCGCTGACTTAACCACATACACACGCATACACGAGGGGGATATAAGAGTCAGGACGGAAAAGGAAAGAGGGTTGATTTCATAGTGTTTTGTACTTGAATTTGCTTCTTAAAGTTTCCCAAACTCATGAATGTATTATGGAGGAGGTTCATGCAGTGGCATTGAACATTAAAGCAAATAATAAAACAAAACAATTTTTACTCCCTTCCTGAGTCTGTTCTAGACAAAATATGTCTTATATTTTGTATTAAGAATTGCTCACCAACTCTCTCGAGTTGTAAAAGATTTTGGTTGCATATATTGATCATAATTCATAACCGGTGTTATTTCAGGATTATTTGTATAATATTATAGTATTTATTCATTTTTAATTAGCTTTTTTATATTTTAATTTTAATTTTAGCTTATGTTTTTAGTAATTGTATGTGCTTTTTTTCATTATTTGTATTTATCTTTTATTTTTTAGTACTTTTGGTACTAAAGTGTAAAGTGTAGTAATTTTATGGACCCATAATGTTTGGACCCATAATGGGTGTGTGTATTCATATTAAAACAAGCAAACCTGAATGCTCTCAAAAGCTCAAATATATTTGTTTTGAATAGGCAAGTCAGTTTAAAATATAGCAAGATTTTAGGAAATTTTTCCTCTGATATACTATGTATTTAGCTACATTTTTATTTTCACAATAGATTACACATTAAATATTTAACATAAAAATGTGATGCTCTACTGCAAATGTGAAGTTTAGGAAGTTCAGCATAAAGAAAGTAGGATGAAAACAAAACTGTGGATCTACTGACCTCCAGGGGTGAAAACATGTAATACGTCCTTGGGTATATTAACAGTTCGACATTCACTTTACCCTTATGGTACCTGCTTGTTCGATTACAATTTAAGTGGTGATGTGTTTTTGTTTTTAGCAAATGCAGGACATTTTCTCAGGTTCTGGTCGATCAGAAGAAATGGACAGTCTGCTTGTGAACAGTGGTGAAACTCCTGACTGCACCCTCAGATTATGTTGCCTTCAAAGACTTCAGGTACATTTAAGGAGTTTTTGTCTTTGGAAAGAAAAATAGTGGTATAGAACTGAAATGCATTTTAAAACATTGAGAACTGAAACACACATGATCAATTTAAAACGGTTGGTTTGCACCTGGTAGATCATGAACCCAAAATGGGTCATAGATAATAATCATAATAGGGTTTTGGACAGCATGTAATATGCAACTGATAAAATGCAACTTACTAAAAAGTAAAAGGGTTGTGAACTTGTAAAATAAAAAATGAAATAAAAATAAATAAATAAAAGAACAAAACTATGCAAGGTAAAAGAAGACTACATTAAATATAAGTTGGAACAAGGATAAACAATGTTTTTGTGTTGACCACAAAGTATTTGGTGTGGTGGGACATTGAAAAACTAAACATATACGATATGATATTATATTGTGCTATATTGTGTTACATTGTATTATGTTATATTATATTATATTATATTCATATATTTAAAGGTTTATTGCAGGAATATCATTGCTGCTGTTGAGAACCACTGATATAGTATAATGCATTATATCTGGAAGTCAAAAATACTGTTCAGAGACATTAAAGAATTGAAATTTATTCATACTTCCTAGGGATCTCTGGTGATCAAAGTGACACTGCACTACACCCACACACAAACTAAAGAACGTCTCACTGAGAGCAAAGAGCTGGACATAGGCAGGCCTCTCATTGCCTCCTGCAAGCTGAATCAGATGAGGCCAGTGGACAGGAGACAAGAGAGCCGTGTCCATACTGTGGACCACATGTCCAACATAAGATATCCTCATCATCAGAACCATCCTCGACCTGGTCGGCCCTACACACGCAAGGCTGAGAACCGATTACAGAGTTCAGCCAAATCCACCTCCACGAGCAGCAATGAACCAGAGGAGAATGATGAAAATGACTAATGAATTCACTATGTGATGTTGCGTCCCTCTACACACACACACAGTAAGGCATGGTTTTGGTGCAACAAAGGATTTTTCTTACATTAATTGTTTACTTTTTGCTTACTAATTACAGTAAATGTGTGTGTGTGTGTGTGTGTGAGAGAGAGAGAGAGAGCAACGAAAGGAAGATGTTCTCATGCAAATGTAGAAATATTTATACAAATTATTTGTAAATCAAATTAAGTGTAATTTTCTTATATAACCAATAAAGTACTACTTCTGTAGTTTTCCTGTGTGATGAAATTTCATATTCAAATGCAGTTATTGACATTAAGATATTCTATATTCATGGAAAAATGAATATTAGAAGATACAGCTACATTTCTATGATTTGTTTTATGAAAATATGGAAAATCGGGATGTATTTTGGATTAGGCCATAAATATTTTTATTTTAACAATTAATATTTACAGGTATTTTAAATTTAAGTCATATCACATTTACAGATAATTTCAAATTAAGGTTGCATGAAACTTAATTGAATAAAATTATAGATTAAATTTATGCTAAATGTTTATTCAAAAAGATATGTATGTTAAAGATATGTTAAACGATATGTTTATTCAAAAAGTTTACCTTTTTTTTATTCAATACCGGAAGAACACAGACAAAAGATATATACAGTAACATTAAAGGGGTCATATGATGTTGCTAAAAAGAACATTACAAACAAAGTAGTTTCGCTTTCACAACGAAGCACACAGCCTCTTCAGGACATGGCGGCAGCGGCAACAATACTACAGCGAGAATAAAAGTTACGCCTTCTTTCTTTGCGTGAACATTTGGGCGGTGTTATGCAAATCTTCCCACATAGTGACGTAGATATGTGGGGGCGTGTTCGAACGAGCTGTTTTAGGTAGGTGTGGCTGACTCTTAACTTTTATAAAGAATATCTCTTTGGATTTGAGACTTTAGTCTTTGCAAATTTACAGATCTTCTTTATGCACCAAGAGCTTGTAACACTCCAAAGAGAAAGGAAAAAATGAAATTGCATCATATGACCCCTTTAATACATTAATATTATATAGTCACATTATATTTTATATTCATTTACTTTTACATTAGTGCATTTTCAGTGTTTTTTTGTGTTTTCATTTATGTGAAAATATGATTAATTTAGATTGATTTATTCAAATGAGAAATTTTAGCAAAAAAATGCAAAAACGTCATTAAAAAAAGAAATCCTGAACATGCCAATATAATTTTCTAAATCATTTTAAAAGTAATTTGAATAAATATTTAAACACATTAGTAGCCTAAATGTTTCATTTTCATGTATCTATCTTTTCGATACATGTTTAGCCAGACATATGCAATATTTTGTAAGATACTTTGATGTTGTTATTGATACTAAGTCATTCTGCCAAATGAAGAAAAATAATATTGCTCCAGGAAATTAATCGGAGTATAGAGTATTCCTTACAACCTTACTACTACCTTTGTCCAGCATCTTATTGGACAACAATGACCTCCAAATACGCAGCAGCACCCCGATCTTTCATTGTCCATTTCAAACGCGTCCTTATTTGGAGATCTTAACCATTGGCTCGAAGGAGTGTCAATCAGCTTCTGTGGTCCCGCCCCCTTGCTCAAATATCAAGCGGTGAATGGTCAACAGTCGGGCTGCTACTGTCTGCTTGTAACCACAGCGACTTAATCTGGACCTGGATGCGTGCTGGAGGAACCTGTTCGCAATAACAGAAAATAAAACACTCACCCGATCATCTGCAGCGTTCAGGTCAACTGATAAAGATGTTGTCGGCTTCGGTTAGCACGTTTCACCTGGGCGACCGGAGAGTTTGGTCGATGTGACACTGCTTGAGCTTTTTGTTCTGGTGCCGGACGCAGAGCAGCGATCGCGCTTTGAGAAGATGTTGAGTCGGCTGATGAGTGGCAGCGTCAGAAACCTGGAGCGAGAATTCTTGTGTACGGTCAGGCTGCTGGATGATACGGAGTATACCTGCACCATTCAGGTCAGTCTCACCAGCGGCACCTGTGCTGCCGAAAATCGGCGAGCAGCAGACCTTTTGTTGCAGGCTGGGAGAAGCGTGCGCAGTGGGTTTTAATAGCAGGTGCCAGCAGCATCCCCCCTAAAACCAGCTCCTTAGAAAATCCTGCAACGCTCGTTTGATTAGGAAGAGTCTTAGCTTGTAAAGGCAGTTCAGATTATGTTTGGTCTCAAATTGTTTTTGGATAGAGTGGGCTTGTTTTGCTCTGGATTCCCATCAGTCAGAACACAACACTGAAGTGCTGCTGCTGCTATACTGGAATGTAAATATTGTAGTTCGCATCTGGTTTGTTTATTTAAATAGCTTTGCATATTTTAAACTAGCAATTTCTTCTCTATAAGCACTTTTTTTTCGACCCATAACGGGTGAGTTCAAGATGTTTTAGGAGCATCCATGGTGATATTTTGGTGTAAAGGAACAGTGCACCCAAAACTAAAAAGTCTTTTGGCTTTTTTCTGTGGAACACAAAAGGAGATGTTAATGACAGCTTCAGGGGAAAAAAAGAAAGAAAAAAAACCACATTGAAAACAAATAGTGACTGAGGCTGTCAGTCACTAGCATTCTGCGCACCACGAATGGCAGATTTTTCATTTTCGGGTGAATTGTTCCTTTAACTTTTGCATGGGCATCACTTGTAGCACTCTTGGATTGGGTGTCTGTAGTAAACATGTCAGGACCGACTCTAGAGAATCAATATATTCAATGCACGTGTCCCCTTTACAGTTTATTATAATAGTATTGGAATTGCTCCATAAGCAGGAAAGTGTTGTATGGATTCTGGCATTATGTCAACACTACACATCCATTAATAATGTACGCTTTGGTCTCCAAAACTGCCCCTTGGGCACTTGTAAATCAAGCAGTTTAGCAGAGCAGCATGGATGGCTGGCTGGCTGCAAAGCACTGGCTGTACAGGAGTGTGTGAAATCCGGCAGATTATGGGAGGTCTGTTACTCCGTGATGAAGGGAGGGTTACATCATAAACACTGGGGATAGAGAAACTGCAACCAAACCTAACTGTTTCACTCTTTTCAGTTTTCACTAATAGATTTTTCTCAATGGTCCCAAACTGAAAGTAATTTTCCCATTTTATTTTATTTTTATTTAAACATTATTCTCATTTGTACAGGCCTTTTTATATCATCCACACATAATATTTAAGGAGAAGGTTTAGTTTATTACTCTGCTTTCCCTGAGGGAAACTAATTGTTTTTCAAAGTTTAAGTTCCTTATTTTTTTTTCAATGAACTTTTTTGCAGTTTTTACAGGGACTTTGCACAGTTGACATTGTGATTTAGTCTGTTTTGCCCTTTTTGGTGGGATTGTTGATTTCTCTAGCCTATATATCACACTTTTTGTCTTGTTCATACTGTTAAATACAGACTAATTATTATATTAACTTATGCAATATTCATGTTAGGGATCAACTGCTACAAGTTTTTCATCGGTTGATTCTTGAATTATTACATTTAGTTTCACACAATGCTGAATATGTGCTTAAATAATTCAAATAATATTTCTTAAAATAAGTTTTCACCTCAGGACTTTAAAAAAATTAATTATTGTTGCAGTTTTTAAAGTGATGTCGCACTGTTGACATTGGGATTTGGTGTTTTCCCTAATTTGATAGGAATATTGATTTATTTTACCTAAAAAATAATATTGTGTAATATCATGCATAGATGAATTTGCTCAAAAACTAATCTGATTGTCTTGTTGATACTGTATAATAAAGGCTTATTATTCTATTAACTTATGCAATATTCATATCAATTACCAACCTCTGTTTTTCAGCAGTTGATCACATTTAGTTCCCCGCAATCCTGAATATGTCATTAAATAATTCCTAGATTTGGAATCTATATTCTATATATTCTATATATAATAAGGTTTTCACCTTAAGTCTAACCGTTGTTGCCTCAAACAGAGCAAAAAGAATAATAATATTTTTTTAAACAAAAGAAAATTAACAGAGATTCATGAGATTTATTTTAATAGGAGGCAGACATACAGTCAAGCGCAGGCTGGCATTTTTTCCTGTATTCAGCTGTTTGTCTTTCTTTGAGGATACCTTTGTTTTATGTGTAGCTTGAAATGAAACGGGAGCCCACAGATCGCTTTCCATTACAGTCAATCTGAGAGCATCCTGTTTCTCAGCCCTCAGAAGTCTGAGAGCACTGTGACTCCTGGATGACACACACTCCCTCAGGGCTTTCATACAGTTTCAACACATCAAGACAATCATTGCGTGTTAGAGAGGATTAGAAGAAGGAAAAAAGAAGAGGAATTTTTCAGGAGCCACCTGAGTGAAGACTTTAAACTGTCTTTATGAGGAAGGAGTGTTTGTTTTATAGCCACAATTCCACATCGTGTTGACCTGTTGATATTTAAAGGCCTGTATTGGGATGGTTTTACAGTGAAAGCAAAACCATTTTTGAGTAGCATGGAAGAGAATATGTTGGATATTTCAGATACAGGAATGTTTTTTCAGTCCTTGTGATGATAATGCTGAGTAATCATATTCCGACAGTACAGCACTTATAAGTGTCTCAAGACATTTTCTTGGCTTAACAGTGAAATATCTGAAGGCATCCTGTGTCTAAAGTCCTATTCGCACAGGATTAGTATAACCTGGTGACCTCTAGTCATTTGTAATAATTGCGGAGGTTGTCTGTGATCTTAATCCCGTGCGAATCGGCCATGTCTGTAATTTGTAAAGTAAAAATTCCCCCGCAAATGACCTACCATATTTCGCCGAACACCGAGGTCCTGTGATAATATTAGTCCCGTGCGAATCGGCATCTCTGTGATCCAGATAATACTAATCCCATGCGAATAGGGCTTAAGACGGTGATCAATTGGCCGATTACGATTTGCTCAAAATGTCCAAATATTGACAGAATAACCACACTTGATGACACGGTATATAGATCTGTCATTTATTATTTTAAAGCAGTTATTATACATTTGTGCTACAGAATATTTTAATAAACAACAGCACAAAATCACAGAGACCCACTGTTAAAAAAAAAAAAAAAACCTGGGAGCTATAGTTTACAGAAATTCACTGTAAAAAATACAGTGACAATTATAACAGTCTATTTCATTAAGAGATATTATGTTACCAAAATCAGATTTTTACTTTAAAATGTACTGATAATCACCATAATGATACAGGTTGTAAACCAGAAAGTCACTTGATGAATCAGAAGAGTTCACTGTACATAAAACATGACAAATTCTCACATATAGATACAAACAAAGACAAAACACCATGAGGGTAACATACATGACACTAAATAATGCAACTAAATAACAAAAACGTAACAAAAATGCCCTAAGGTACATTATGGTACAAAAATAAGAAGACAGTTTTTTTTTAGTATGACATGTTATTTTTTAAATTTTTAGGGGAAGGTAACTAGTTAACAGGTTTTTACTTTAGCATATAATCTCTTCCTATAAAAAAACATTTTTTTACAGTAAAAAAAAATATTATTTTAATGATTTTTTTGGTAAAAATATATATATTTTTCTCAATTGGCCATTTAACAACTAACAATTAACAAATGTCGGTCTTGCCAATAAACGCACACTGTTTTCAAATATTTTAAATATAATTATTGGCCTATTTTATATATTATATCATTTTTTAAAATTAAAAATGAAATCCAACATGTTGAATTTAGGATGTGTACATCATATTTGCTCTCATTAAATTATATAATAAATATGTTGGTATTATATCATGCATTATTGCGCTTTCTAGAAACTATTATCAGCATCAGCACTACTAAGTAAATAGTAAAAGTTATTCTATGGTATTTGTGAGTGCTAATTGTAGCCAGGCTGTGCGTGTCTATAGAGAGTGCCAGGCAGGGAGGTGAGCAGCAGGGCTAATATGGAGCTGGAGTCGGTCCAGTGCAGCCAGCAGCAGGTGTGCCGTGTGCAGCAGTGCTGTGTTGTTTGGCACGGTGACGTAATGGAGGAGAGACTGTGACAGAGCAGCCTGCCAGCTTTCTCTCTCTCTCTCTCTCTCTCTCTCTCTCTCTCTGTGGCCAGGGAATAATCCAAACTCTCTAGCTTGGCAGCAGAGGTTGAGAGTGCACAGTCATTGTTTAACATCCTTTCTGCCTCCGCTGGTCCCTATATACTGGTTTCAGGCCTGCCAGCTCGGCCTCAGGGTTCCAGGACACCTAGACCGGGGAAAGAGCAAGTGAAAGGCTGAACTAGGTCACCCTTTTATTCTCTCCCTCACTCCCTCCCTCTTTACCCCAAATATCTTGTTCCCACTATGCTGAGATTCACTCACTCCAGGAAGTGCTTTCATCACCAGCAGATAGTTTCCTTTAAAGCTCCCCAGTGGCTTCAGACCTGCTTGTGAATTGGCCTAGCTTGTGTTTTTCGTTTGACGATCAGCAAACACACTGTTCGTGTGTCGTAGCAGCTTGGTGGAAATTTGGTTCCCTTAACATGTTGCTAATGTGCTTTACAACACGCAACTCGTGTTTCGATGCCGGAATGATTGGGAAACTGAAGGTGTGATATGCGGAAATCTGTATGTAAGACACCGTTAAATGTGTTAAGTGTAGCACGTTGCAGCTAATGTGAAATTCAGAAATGCGGCTGTACAAACTTTGTAATGAGTTTATTTGTGTTACAAATCTCCTGTACTCGGGCTACATTTTAAAGGGATAGTTCACCTGAAAATGAATAAAATTCTTATACTCCTCCTCATGTCTTTCTTAAAACATTTCATTTTCTGTTTTCTGTCAAGTCCATCAGAATGTTTCCATACAGTGAAAGCGAATGGTGACCAGGGGTTGTCAGATTTAAAAAAATGACAATAAAGCACCTTAAAAGTACCATGACAATAATCCTCTTGTACTACGTTCCAAGAAAGACAATATCGGAAAAAAGCTGTCATTGCACATTTTTCTGTTATATACAGTATATGAAACAGA